ATTAAAAATAAAAATAAAAATAATTAAAATTTTATATAAATATAATATATAAAATTTAATATAAAAAAATCTCTTTATATATATATATAAATGAGTAGTAAATTAGTTGCGTCACTTGCGTGACACCTATACTTTGTCTTACCTCTAGGTAACTAAGATTCCTTCGATGCAAACAAGGCAAATCAAGTTTTTTTTTTTCCCAACGATGCTGGACATCATCCCGAAACTGCGGTTGATTCAAATCATTGGCACGACCCTGGGACATGATTTGAATTGGCGTGTACGAAAATGCATTCTGTTGTCCATTAAAATAAAAATGATAAAATTAGGTATTTATATGCTACTAATATATAAGAAAAAGAAGGATTAAGTTATATATATTTTATATATTATATTTATATATATTTTTAATTTTTAATTTTTTACTTTTAATAATTTAAAATTTTTAAGATTTTTAAAAATATATATAATTATTTTTATATAAATTTAATGCGTAAAATTTTACTCAAATAGAAAATAAAAAGGTTAAATGTTAAATTTGATCCCTCAACTTTAAGAAATACATATTTTTGATCCCTTAACAATTTTTTGCACTTTTTTGATCCCTCAACTGTAAGAAATGTACACCGTTAATCCTTCTGTTAATTTTGGCCGTTAACTCTGCCTATGTGACATTTTTTATATTTTTTTGACGATGTGGAGAGTGAAATTTAAAAAAGTGATGATATGGACAAAACTTTTGCCATGTCATGTTATCGTGGCTAAAACGCGCCAAATTCGTCCAAATGAATCCCACATCACCATTAAGAATTGCTTCTTAGCCATCAGTTACTGCTTTTGTTCTTTCCATCGACGATGTTCTTTCTATTTTCAAGATTGAAATCATTTAGACAATACTTAAAAAATATGAAGAAAAGAATCCCAAAAATCGCTCACAACAACCTGCAATTTAGATAATCTAACTTCTAAAAAAATGAGATTACTGCTAGTTACTCAGATCATTTGCTCAACTTATCATCATTAATTATAAAATATACCGTGTAGAGTGAATATCACTTTTCTAA